CCTCTAGCTAAGTCTCCTCCCAGTGCAAACTACCTTTATTGGGAAACGCCTTTCTTGGAGTATTGAACGCAACAGACTGGGTCCAGTGCAATTTACCTTTATTGGGAAACGCCCTTCTGGACCTGTCTCAAACCCAGCTTCAGTCTTCAGTCACGCCAAGTGTACAAAGTGTATCTAATACAGAGTGGCCTATAAGTAGTACGTCCTTTCGTAGAAGAGACGTCATGGTACTATTTCTAGGGTATTAATATTCTATATATTCAATAAATATCTTATTGTACCAATACCAAGCGAGTTTCTCTCTACCAGAACCCCACCTATGCCCCCAGGTCACGCTCCTGTTGTGACGTCCCAAGACGAAACGTATAGGGGTTGTGACAATATGCCTAGCTTAGTCAGCGCTCTGGAGAAAATATATGCCTAACAAAGTTCTGTCAGCGTAAGGTGAAGCCAAGAAAGTCGTATGAATACTCCTGTCCATACCTGAGCTGTACATTGACCTGGAAAATCTTGACATTTAATTCCTTTGTAGTTCCATCGGCCAACTTAATCCTAGTTCTACTTTCAATAAAATTAACATTCTTTCCTAATAAAGCCTTGCATAAAGAGGAGCTGGTTACACTCTGTTCAGCAGCTGTGTCTATAAGGCCATGTCCCTGAAGACCTAATACAGAAATTAGCAGTACAGGACGAGGCTGTGTAGAAAGGTTCAGTTTACAATCATCCAATGCACAAAAGTCTAGTGAGGCGACTGCCTTAGAGCAAGTAGGGCAGTTAGATTTTATGTAACCTGGCCTATTACAGCCATAACATGTTATTTGTTTGGAAGTTCTGGAACAAATTGGAGTTTGAGATACAGTACTCAAATTCGTGCCAGTTGTTGGTCTAGATTGATTTGCTGATGCTGAAGCGGCCTGTTTTTTTCGACATTGCTCTTCAGTGTGACCTGTTTACTAACAGAATCAACACTTTAGATGTTTCTCAGGTTTGTCATTAAGAACTTTACTTTCATAATGATCAGCTAATGTCTCTTCGACTAACCTACACTCTTTGAGCAATTCGTTAAAAGACATAATTTTATCGCGAGGAAGTTTTTCCCGAATGCGTTTATTTAATAGTCCGTATATCATGTCAATTTGCGTACTTTCAGTAACAGTACCGGCTGTAACTGGACTAAAAGAGATTGGAAATGACATCAGAAGGGGTTTTAGAATTTAGTTCACTAGCAAATGATTCTCGATAATTTACGTAAGTAGGTTTATTTTGGACCAACAGTATGTCGTAATAAATCAATAGCCTCTTTCCAAGAAGCGATAGTGTCTTTAACCCTAAGCCACCATGTAACAGCAAAATCATCGAGAAACATTGACAATTCAACGAGTTTGCATTAGATAGGTACATGCGAGCAGTCTTTAAATGTCTCTATAGCATCAATGAAAGCGTTTACGTCAGAGTTTTCACTAGCATTAAAAGGGAAGAACGAAGAACACGTTGAAAAATTACCTTCTTGAGCTGGTACTTTTCCAAAATCAGTACAAAACACGTGTCCTGAAATGTTTGTTCCAATGATATTTGACAATTTACGAAATAGAATGCATGGTTACATTGACGCCTACTTCCTTCTCTTTTGAACTGATACTGAGGAGTAACGGGAGTCAATAGTGAAATGTAATGTAATATCATTGGTTTGTTCGAAGTGATTCTTAAATCCACAGGTAAAAAAAAACTGAATTTTATATTTTCACGTACACTGAATGTCTATAAAATGTTCAGTTGAAACAACGTCTTTTTATGCCAATTTCACACTTTAGGCCCCACGTTGGGCGCCACTTATAACATGAGAGATTTCAAATTACACAAACACTCTGGTTCTTAGAATTTATTAACTTTGGAATTCGTTTTAAGGTAAGATTACCGCCATTTGTTGAGTCAAAGCAATCGTGTTGTAGAAAAACAAAGTCGATGTCGTCTTTCTATTTTCATTACTCTACTTTCTTAAACTATGCATTCATTTAATCTGGTTCTAAGATTTCCAGTTGCCACCCTCAAACCATCTTCCAAGGGTACATGTTTTATGCAACAATAAATACCGGTAACTGATAAATAGTCGTCCAATGTCTACCAAAAAACCAGAAAGAAATAAAACCGTTTCGCCTTCAATTTCTCCCGGAGTTTTTCTCGCGCGCCAAATCCCTCGAGGCGGCGGCGAAAAATTCTAAAACTGGTTTCATTTTTATAAAGCGTCGTTCCTTCGTTTTTTGTACATTGGCATTCCGTCGATGCGCCCGGATCTCTTTTTCTGTTCATTAGAGGATTATTTTTACGTAGGGAAAAAGGAAAAAAGGCGGCAGCCGAGAAATTTCAATAAGAAGTCCTGGCTTTACCTGGGTTTTTATCGAAACAGAGGCGCGAAAACGAGGAATTTGTGCAAAAACTGCTTTGATTGATGAAACGGGATTTTTGTTTTCCTTTGGAAACGATAGCTATTTATGTAATAGGTTTTTTTTTTTCATCCACTCACTGATTACAAAATAATATAACAGAAAAACAACCATTATCCTCGCTGGAAGGAAAAGAAACAAGAATCACGCCCATGTACATTATGTATGGAACTTTTTATGCGTACTTGGCCATTATCTCTGTATCGCTCTGTCGCAGACAGAACGGTGGTAATTTTTCCGAAGAAAAATGCGTCAGTTAGCTCGGAAAATGGTACATGTGAGCCTCCTTCTGTTCTAGAGTAGCGTCATCTATCATCGGAGATGCCGCAACGATAGCTAAGCGAATTGACATTTAAAATTATAATTTTATTTTGCTTTGCTTTATTTGCTATGATAGTGTTGGCAGAATTTTGTTGTTCGGTATCTAAAAACAGACATTTTTTAGATCGGTTTTTGGATTGTTGAAATGAGAGATTTTACGAATCTATGATGGCCTGACTTCAGACCAGTTACTGGACATATCGTCAATGGTGAATGTTTAGGTTTGACCATCAGGACCTAAATCTGAGATTTGCTGACAAAAGCACTTAGTAATAATCACTCGATAAAGGAATACATTCATTTTAATATACTTCATTTAACAACAATAAACAAAAATACATAAACACTGAACAAAAAATATTAATTATTTAAAACTGAGCGCATTAAATTGCTATACGCCCTATGGTTCCAGAGGGCTTTTTTTGAATGGCGCATTAATATTTGATAAATCAAACATCGGAAATTGCACGTTGCCGCGAAAATATTAAACATCAATTGCGTTATTTATAATTTAGAATATATTCAGTTCGATTTATTTCGAAATTGCGCATTCTATATGCCCCTCTGGGACTATTTAATTCGATATACGAATATGTATATAGTTTTTTTTTTTATGCCAGAGACCCATGAAAAATGTTTTATTTTATTTTGGAAAGTTTTCATTTATGGGCTTAATAAGTCTAATCCTACTCGACTGCGCCAATATTGATTGTCAATATAAATCAAATTAGAGGTGATATATTGGAAACAGTTTTTTACGCTGTCGCTCAATATCACAGCTCAATATCAATAATCGATAGCCAGTTTGTGGTATAATTTTATGATAGGTATTATTTACCTCATGAATTAGTGATCAGACCTTAGAGTATCACAAAATTCAGCACAGAATTTAAATAAGAAAAATCAGTACCTGAGTTATTTTTTGATAGTTTCAAATCCAATCCTTTATACATTTGAGAATTCAAAGGATTGCACAAAATTTAAAGTTTAAATTCATGATCCAATATAGGAGAGAAAGTTTGATACATTGGCTGCATGGCCTTTATTTATATAAGATTATATTTAGAGTTGTTTGCTCTATAAGTCCATAATTTCGTGATGGGTACATTGTCAATTGTCTTAGGCTTTGGTCAAGTCGAAGAAAGAATTTATTCCTTATTCTGTTGTGGAAATATGATCCATGCAGAAATGACCCGTTTTAAAACCCGCCTGTTCTTTAGGTCCATGCGGACCATATTCGGTTTTAACTAGTGCTCTCAACAGTTTTTGAAAAACTCGACTCATTGTGCTGGTTACCGTTATGCGTCTGTTGTTATTGCAGTTATCTTTTTATGTATTAATGTGATCCATGCTTCTTTCCAGGTTTCCGGGATCTGCCCTCCATTCAAATATCTTTCGAAGAGGTATGTTATAGCATATTCATTAGTTCTTGTGTTCCATATAGAGGCTATTTAAAATAGTGGTTGTTAAATTTTATTGAGGAGCAGGATACAAGAGGTTATGGGGCCTAGGCAGTTTCCAGGGCAGGAACTTATATAAAAAGACTAGTCAAAAGTTGAAAGTAGTAGGTGAGCGGGAAGAAATTGAAGGTTAACTTTTTTTTCATCGTATCCTTGGTGTAGATGCGTGTAGTGTAATCCTTCGGGTGTCCAACAGAAACAGTCTCAATCTCAGATTTAATTGTGAAAGCAATTCTGAACATGTTGAAGTCATCATCCTCAGAATTTTCAAAATTAAGAATGTTTGCTATTTCTTTACGGAAGCAAATGATTCCTGATGAACTGAGAACCACAAGATCATTACCAAAATAGTCTAAAAGATGTGAAATTGAAGTTCTACGGCTTCTTATACCATCATCGCTTATGTAGGTAGCATACTGTTCTACAGAACTCCACATACGACTACGATTACTGTGCATAGTGGAGATAACAACAGAAAAAACTTCATCCTCTTCACTTGAAATACCAACGACCCTTTTGTTTTGTGCGTCTGGGGTATATTTCATCTAGTAGTTCATAGAATTTATCAGTTTGCAATGCGTCATTTCCAACAATGGATACTCTGCCCTTTTAAATTGAAATTGGCAGTTATAATACGTTCATTGATAGTTTCCCAATTTGTTAGCTCCGGCTTAAGTTTTTTAAATTGAAGGAGTATAGTACATTTCTCAAAGAGGAGCTGAAATTTAATTCTAAATAAAATACAGAGTCTTCCTCCACAAAATATTAGCACTTTATGCCCATTTACAAAATTTACAGGTTAGTTTAAGAACAATGAAAAAAAGGTAAATTTGTACATAATTAAAGAATCTCATTATGTTCAGTTAAGTATATTTGTTATTTAACTATAGGTAATATTAATATTTGTTTTTGGTGATTGTTCCAAAGAATTTATATTGATTTTCAATTTCCTATTAAACTTAATTGGTTTCCAAAATTCCACGTCAAACCATTGATATTTCTTCGGTTTTGTTGTATCAAATTCAAATTCGATACATCGCCCCAGCCTAAAAAAAAACAATTTGAAGCATTTTTTTTTTTTAAGCTTGGTTTCCTTTTACCATGATCTTTTGCAAGTATAAGGATAGTCTTCTTTGAAGCATTTGGTACGTAGGAAGTCAAAGTAAATTCTACCAACAAACCTGGATTCTTTGGTATCGACATTTTTTAGACATTCGTGTAAGGCATGATCACAATCACAAGTTAATCTATACAAAAATGTTTAAGATTAAATAAGAATTAATGAATTCAAAGCTTACCTGGTTTTCAGTATTGCTGAATTACGTAATCCGTGCTTTGTGTCACCAGCATGAATAACGTCCGGACATCTATCGTGAGTGCGACAGCAAGAGTCTAATTCTTTTAATACTCCTAATTCATCATTGTTTTCGGATATGTTTCCTTTTCCACACCAAAAAGTACCTTGACCAAGTTTGATTTGCAATACTATAAATATTAAGTAGGTAGTTATGCTTACCAGGATAAATTATAGGAAATTTTCCTATAGTGGATTTCAAAGAATCATCATCTAAATTTGCATCATCATCATCATACACGGATAATATTTGGTAAGCATGAGAAATAGAGAGCATACAAGGCACCAGTAATAATAATGGAAATAATTTTGCCATTTTTTAAAAACAGTGATTGTCTCTAAATATATAGGAACATGGTTGTATTTATAATACGGAAAATCGTGTCTTATTGCTGCAATTTGTTTCACATGTGCATTTTTGCTATCGTTGGACATTAAATAGCCTCAAAACTGAATTACATTAACTCAAAATTGTAATACATAACATTTATGGAAACGTTTCCGTTCGTGCATAATTTGCATCTTATTTTGCTACTAATTCATAAGGCTATTGAAGATAATTAAAACAATTACCGTCCCTATTTACTTACACGCACAAATTAGCTTCTACAAGGTGATTTAATCCGATTTTCATGCGTATGATGGCAAATTTTGCACGCATGAACTTGCACGTAGGTACATTTTCAAGATAAACGATAAGCAGTTTAAGGGGGCTGGTTTTGTAAGGGCTCATACTTGAAGCGGTTTAATTATTATTGAAAAGAAATTGTTACATAAATCCAATTTCCCGTTACGTCGATGGCATGTATGCAACAAAACACAAAATATTCGTGTGCCAAATTACATTATATGCGAACACGCAGGAGAATCGATACGGCCGATTTGGCCGGTCGTCTGTTCGTTAAGAACCCCCCCTGATTCCTGTCTTGGCAAATTTTCACCCTGGAATCTTAAAGGGTTTCGTTTGGACACGCACATATACGTGATCGGAAATAGATATTTTCGGCTCAACTTCATATATGGAAGAAATTTGAATTTTTTGCTTGATTGCTTTTTAATACGGCAGAATTCTTTTTTTTTTGTCCTGTCTAATTGGTGAAACTTTGGGTATTAGGAATTTTTTTTGTAAATTTGATGTTCCCATGTTTATGAAAGTGCATATTCTGGGTTCCCAGGTCCTGATAGAAATGTGTTGTCATTGCTGCCTCAAATTTGGTTCCCTGGTGGGGCTGGGATGTGAGATTCCCTAATTAGGGGGTTTGAGCCTCTGTAAAGTGGTTTGTACATAAGTCTTGGATATGGTCGTTTAGGCCCTGTAGTTGGGTGTCTCTTCTAATGGTTGTGTTTCTGACGTACCTTCTGCGTTCAGGAGGCGGTTTCGAAGTATTCGGTTTTTCAGACTTGCTAATGGTTGGCGTACTAGGCAGGAGTTCCATATGTCAGTATGGGTCGGATGTACAGTTTGTAGGTGTTGATTTTACGAAGAGGGTAAAGCTGAATTAACTGGCCGATGATCTTCTTTCTGGCATATTTGACTTGGAGTCTCAAGTTTAAGTTGCAGTCGTAAATGATGCCTAGGTACTTGATATTAGTTTTCCAGGGTAGGGCCGCGTTTTTCCATTTTAGTTTTTCTTTTGGTGGATGTTTCCTCTTCTTAGAGAACCAAATGGCTTGAGTCTTCTTTGGGTTTACTTAGAGTCCATCCAAGTTTCAAGACTTTTGAGGTGTCTTTGAAGGCAACCTCTTGTTGTGGGACGGGTCCTAGTGGTAGAAATTATTGCTGTGTCGTCGGCGTAAGAAAGTAGGGATAGTTTCCTGTGAAGTGGGTAAGTCCGCCATATACAGATTAAACAAAAGACGGCTGAGTGATGAGCCCTGAGGGACTCCGACTAGAACTGGTCTGGTGGTTGATCGTGTTACAATCAAAGAGTGGCTGTTTATTGTTACCCTGAATTTTCTGTCGGAAGGAGCGTATAAGCCAAACTTGGTATTGTGGCATGTTCAGTCGAAGCATCTTCAACAAAAGTCCATGGTGCCACATTTTCTCTAAGGTTTTGGCGATGTCCGGTTTTCATATATCTGGTGACCCCTTGGAATATGAGTGAGGTCAATCGTGTGGCTTGGTTTGTTGTCGAATGCCCGCTTCTGAAACTCTTTTCTTCATTGGGTAGTAAATTTAGTGTGTTAACGGTGTCTTAGAGGTCCCATTTGATGGCTCTTTCAGCGACTTTCCCAAGTGCAGGAAGCAGGCTGATGGGACGGTAGCTTTTGCTGTTGTTACTAGGTTCGCCGCTCTTTCTAATAAGGATAATTTTCGCCGTTTTCCATCTGTCTGGGAAGTGGCCCAGAGTAAAAATGGCTTGAATTATTCGTGTGAGATCTTCATCTTGTTTTTGAGGAAGTTTCCTCAGAGCCATGTTACCATCCAATCCAGGGTTTTTTTTTGCGCTCCAAGGCGGCAATAATCTGCCTTATCTGTTCGGTGGTGATGACTGGGGGCTGGTGGTCTTGAGGTTGTCTTAGTAAGAGTGACTACGTCTGGTCCTGATCTTGCCGGAGAGGAGGGTTGGTAGTAAACTACTCCTGGAGGCTGTTGGCGAAGGCTTCTACCTTGAGTGTCGGGTCGTTGATGATGATGTTGCCGACTTTTAGGCTAGGCATGAGGCGGCGAGGCCCTTTTGCTAAGTTTCGGGCTAGTGTGAAAAGGTCCTTGCCTAGTTGCAACGTCTCCGCAAGTTTTTCTTGCCATCAGGTATTGTAGGAGACAGTGGCTCTCCTTTTAATGTCCCTATTCATTTGGTTGACCCGCTGTTTGAGATAGGGGTCATTTGTCCGAAGGGCGGTTCTTCTTAGCCGGTTTCTTGTCCTTATGTCTGCTAACAAGTCGGGTGGTATTTGTTGTTGTCTGCCCTTCATATGAACCGTTGATTTGGCCTCCTGTAAGGCTTGTACGATATTGTTGGACAGTGAGTCTGCGGCTTGGTCGAGTTCTTGTGAGTTTGTTAGGTTTCCAATGGCGGTTTCCCAGTGTGTTTGTAAATGTTGTCTAGTTTGTGAAGGTGGATGTGTTGCATTTGGGTGGCGTCTGGTCGTCTGGATCTCCGAATTCGAGTATTACCGGTAAGTAATCGGAGGATAGTTGAAGGAGTACTTGAGGTTGGGATAATGGATGCACATTTTTATGCATGAAGAAATCCAACTGGTTTTTGTCTGTCGGCGCCCTCTCGTATAGCGAGTCCTTTGGGGGTAAAGGAGTCACATCACAGTCTGTGTTTTTGGCGTTAAAATCTCCGCCGAGGAGCTGCGAAAATGGAGCCCACTAGTAACTGCCGGCCCCTTGTTCGCAGAGCCTTGGAGGTGCCTTCGAATCCAGTTGCTGAGTTTGAGACCTCGTGGTGTCTAATGTGTTTTTTGACTGCAATGAGGGTCCCACCTCCTCTGTCTTGACGGGTGATTGTGTAATTCTGTAGGGAGAATCGGTCTCCCATCTAAGGAGCTGTGAGACCTTGCCGCTGGTGGATGGGCACAGCAAGTGACCGTGCATTTGACTGGTCAACCGCTGCTAAGGACAGCTCAACCTCAAGGACCCGCACTGCGGGCACGGGCTTGGCAAACCCGAGGCACCCTAGTTGGGCTCTCAGCCTACACCCGGGGTGACCATATTCCACACACCGCCAACCTCAAATCCTCCCCTTCCACACCACACTACACCCCCCATATCTACAAAACAAAACTAAACTATGATGGACCACAGCAAAAATAAGAAAACGTTTACGGAGCAGGGACTCGGAAGCCCAGTTCTGATCTTCGAAGCTGGTGATAGTGCAGGCTAGCCACGACCATTAGCCAGCTACTGCACGGCATCGTCGGTAGGGAACCAGGCTGAGATGTCAACAAAAATGACTGGAACAAACCAGAGAGACGAAGTAGAACCGCAACCGTCAAAAATACTTGCATCCGTAAGAAAGTTGAGCATTGAAACCGACCTCAGAAAAGTCAAGCCACCCTCTGAACGTAGATCCTCAATTACCCTAGAGCTCAAATGGGATGAGAGCAGGAAGGAATTCATAGAATCAGCACACAGACTCTGCAGATGAAAAAAAAAAAGAGAAAATTGCTTCATACCTCTATAACTGCGCGGGGACAACAAAATCTATAAGAAGAAAGAAAGTGCAGATTATTTCACCCTCAAGGAAACCATTGATATGATTACAAAGATCGATGCAAAACTGCAGAAATACATGGAACAGAACACCAAGAAGAGGTCAAAGAACTAATTCTAGAAATAAAAAACATGAATAGTAATAGAATATCAGACTGGCTCGAGGAGAACAGGTTCGAGAAAATAGATAAGATGACCATCGAGACAAATGACAAATGCTTAAACAAGCCCGGAAAAACACAAGATAGCGGCGTCCCAATCCGAAGAACATAAAGAAATAACAGAAAGGGAAGAACCAACAACCGGAAAGCAACCCCTATCCCTAAGGTACGGATCCTACTATGCATGGAACAAAACGAGAGAGGAAACTTGCACCTCGCTAGAGGAAATAAACTCCTACGAGGATTGGAAAAAAATAAGTGAGAAAAAGTGGGACGAGAAGCTTCATACGAACACGGAGCTGCAACTGGCAACCCCCTTAACTCAAAAGACTCCACGGTCAAAGTAGTCTCCGTGGAACCGTCAGATGCTAAAATGGAAAACAGCATTCAACAAATGTTTAAGAACAGATTTTCGGAGCTGACCAAGACAGATAAAGACTTTGCTGTTCTAGAGCAAAGCTCAAAGTGGAAACTGAGTGACGAAATTTTGACCCGTCAAAAAATCCTTATGCAAGGAAACCAGGAACGAGTCCTGTGGGACAGACTAATCGAGCTTAGAGAGGAGACGAAGAACGACGAATGGATCGCAATGCACCATATTGAAAGATGCAGTAGCGACAGGCTAAGGAAAACGAAAACATGCTTATAACAACAGAAAAAGATTCTACGTCCCTACAAACACTAAAAAACGCAATAGAAGAATCGTCGGAAGACATAAAAGTCCGTACAGGCAACAGAAACGTTGAAACCATCCATATAAGGGGACTGGATGTCACACCACGAAGGAAGAGGTCAGAGAAGAAATAGGTAGACTCGTTGGCAACATTAGCGAAGACGAACTCAAACTGGGTAACATGAGACCAAACGCCAAAAACACCCAGGCAATAACTGTGTCACTGGATGCGCAAAAGGCAGAGGAGCTACTGAAACACAGCTACATCCGCATAGGCCTGTCAAGAGGCAGGATGGAAAAAAAGGATAAACATACCACAGTGCGACAAATGCAACGGCCCCGACAGAAAAAAAACAATGCTTCAAATGCGATAAAGAGGTACACACGACCAACCCGTGTAATGAAACCGAGCCTAGCTGCCCCATATGCCAGGTGGAAGGACACAAAACGGGTTCAGCGAAGTGCCACGCCACGCCACAAATAAGGACGAAAGTGTCTGAGGTGGACGAACAAGATAAACTATCAACCTGAAAGACAACAGCATAACAAAACCCCAAGCCAGAAGCGTCAA